AATAATCGATAGATTACTCGATTACTAAAATATTCGTTTACAACAGCCCTACATTTAAGTCTTGGTGTTTAAAAATTAAAGCTCTGCGGATACTTCAGTTGCAGAAGTATTAAATCTTCATGTATTCTGGCTTGGATTTCAGTTCCCACTTGGGCCAGTCATATTGACAGTGCAGGTCTGCACCTGTGCAGCATTTCTAAGTCTGAAAAGTATGTGCAAGATAAATTCCTTAACCTTACAGTGTTACTGCTGCAGATTTCCCCAAGGCTTTTACATATGCAGTAACTCATTGTCTTAGGTTATGGTTTCAAACTGACATAATAAAGATTGTGCAGGAAAGACAAAATGAAAAGGTCTGCTTCTATTATTTAAGAGTTATTTAAAAAATATTAAAAATCTACAAAGAAGGACGTTATCTATGAGCAAACGTTCTATATGTTGCTTGTGGATTTTTTTCTACCACGTTTTTCTTTCACTGAACTTTTCATATATATGCTAAAATGCGCCATTTTGTGAACAGCCAGCTTCTTTAGCAATTACATTGTGGATACGCTTAACAACTGCATCCTGGGAAACTGTAAATCAACAGTCTTCTTAATTGTGCAGGTTTCAACATAAAACATATACTTTAAAAATGATTTCTTAATGTCATTTTTTGAATTTTTTGATATTTATTTTAGCTGCAAGCCATAATTATCAAAAATGTGCACAAATATAAATGTTAAAAATACCAATCTGTGCAAAATTAAGGTAGTTTATGATTTTTGCCTTTTTAATAATATTAAATATAAATTAATTTATTTTTAAATAATCTAATTCACTGACATGCACCAGTACATTGTTTTTAATACTCTGTCTTTAGACTGTAGATTGTAAAAATGCATGCATATTGGAAAAAAAAAGGAAATTATGCATTAACTATACAATAATTGCCACAGCGATACAATTAATGCATCCACTAAAACCAAGCAGGTTCTAAAAAGAAAGATCTAGTTATGTTTGTGTGGTATGCTGGTGTAAATGCCTTCTTTTGTGCAGCAATAAAACAAAACAAAAAACCCCTTTTCTACCCTCTATTCTGGTTTTAGCCGATTTATCTCCAGCTTAGCTACACCTGGGGGTGTTTGATTCATGTGTTCTCCCCCTCCTTACTCTCTCTCTCTGAGCCAGCGCTAGAGTTCTTTGTCTTTTCCCCAGGAGGCGTGGCTTTGACAGGGGTGATTCAGAATACACAGACAAACTGCAGCACTACACCAGCGGCCACAGTGAGTAAACCACCACCACCACCGCTCATCTCCGCTCACTCTCACCAACAGCTTCCGCTCCAGGATTAGACACACCTGTATCTATGACTGCCGTGTCACGCAGTTTATCCCTGTGGCACCCATCCAGCGCGCAACAGCCTCACACACCTGTCTCCATGGCTACCACCTTGCTTGCTGCTGTCCTTGTCTGCGGACCCTGCACAGCGGCCGTTCACTACCCCTGGCCTGCACCTTTGTGAAATCTTTCCCATTATTTGATTCCGCTCACTTAGGGTGTGGACTTAACGACAAGATTTGTGTTCAGCTGTGTGTTCCAGACATCACATTTCATAGTCAACTAATTCCATTATGTTAGAAATAGGTCAGTCTTCACTTATGTTAAAGGCCGTTAGACTACTAATGTACATGAGTCATTTGCTTTTGTCAAAAATTTCAAAGGGATTTGGTGAATAAGTGGAGTTATTCAATGATTTTCTTCCTTCTTATAGTTCAGAAAGAGTTTCAGTGACGTTAATGCATGGATAATTCTGTAAGAAAGATATTTCCGTCTGACCCCATTAACAGATCTTTTTTTTTTAACTGTTGACTTTATACAATTGTGTAATTTTGTCTCAGCACTTTTGTCTCAGCACTTTCCTCTTTAGTAAGTCAGTTTCACCCATAAGACAATAACTTTCTCAGCAGAATTCAGTCAGGCAGTGCAAAGGACTCCAGTTTTAGCTACAGTCAAGAGTGTGCCAGTAAATAGCTGGCTATTTCACAGATATTATCAGAAGCCAACGTGTCTTGTGTGCATCCTGTTCTCACACCACTCACAGTTCAGGCTTTTGCCCTTGTTTATGGTGGTCTTTGCCATTAAAGGAAGGTGGTCTTTTGAACCGTGCTTCAGCTTGAGAAGAGATTGTGGGCTTTAGTAATGGGGGGTTGCACCGGGCAAGATCTTTTCCATCTGTTCCATTTCTGCAGCATGTTTTCTCGCTGCAGTCTGCCAGGTTTTGAGGCAGTGTGCATGCTATTCTTGCACTGCAGCCGACCATGTGTGAGTTGTGCATCCATTCAGATGGCCTCAGGTCTGATGTGGAGGTATGTGCAGTATAATCGGATTTAAAACTCAGGACACTTAAGTCCCCACATACTTAAAGGCCACCTTAAGCCAATTTACCTGGTATTGCAGCTTAGGCCAATTTATTTCTAGAGGTGGAGTTGAGCGATGCCAATACAGGACCCTGGTTCCTCTCCTGAGTGTTAATGGCACTGTGGCTCACTGGAGATGATATATATATTAACCCACTAAATCACAGATAAGATGACTGACGGTGCCATGTCCTTGCTGACTGAACAACCACACACAGTGGCCATCAGGTACTTGTCATAACCACCGTTTGTAATTACAGTACCTCCTCCATCTTCCAGCCTTCATTACCTTTATGTCTTAGAAAAAAAAATATCCCATAATTGCACAGGACTGTGGAAATGGAACATGAATGAATTATTGCTGAATCTCACTGCATTTGACTGTCTGGCCCATAGGTCTGCTAACATGACCACATCAATTAAATATTATAGTGGCTCTTTCCTGTCTTCCAAGTGTCTCCAGGAATGAAGATTTACATTGATCCATTCACGTATGAGGACCCAAATGAGGCAGTGAGGGAGTTTGCCAAGGAGATTGATATATCCTGCGTGAAGATTGAACAGGTCATTGGTGCAGGTAAGGAAGAAATCTCACTGAACCATGATTGGAATAAAGCATTTTCCAAAGCTATAGCTAAGTCAAAGTAGGTGCAGTTGGTGTAGGTGTTGCATAATTCTAGTTCCACATTTAATTATGGGGGATTTATAAATTGATCTATTTTCCATGTTACTTTTTAACAGGGGAGTTCGGGGAAGTGTGCAGCGGCAACTTAAAGCTCCCCGGAAAAAGAGAGATGTTTGTGGCCATAAAGACCCTGAAGTCTGGCTATACGGAAAAGCAACGGAGAGACTTCCTGAGCGAGGCCAGCATCATGGGTCAGTTTGACCATCCTAACGTCATTCATCTTGAAGGAGTGGTTACCAAGAGCAGTCCTGTAATGATCATCACTGAATTCATGGAGAATGGATCCCTTGATACCTTCCTGAGAGTAAGAAACCAGAAAATTTTCCCCTATTGCAGTTTTTATGCTTTTACTTTTACTACTAACAATTTTACAGCTCTACAGAGTAATGATAGCTCTAACAACAGTGTTGGCCTCAAAAACTGCCTCCTTTGAAGCATGGAGGTCTCTGTTCAAAGCTTGTGCTTTGACGAGAATAAAAGAGATGATTCAATGATCTCAGCATAATGAGTTTATGACAACTCTGTCTAGCATATTCTACTGCACTAAACAACTCTTGAGATAAATTCAAACTATCTGTCAAAAGCTGACAAGAGGCAATCAGTCCTGCTCCGCATACAGCATACTAATATCTAGAACACAATTCAACAACTCGCATAATAAAGATTAATCAAATTCAATTGCTGGAGGTAATTTTACCGTAGTAGGTCCTTATTACCAGCGGAGAGTTATTGTACTCAATTGCAAATGCTCATTTTTATCCCATCTCTCAATAATATTTTCTGTCAGTCTTTACTGTGCTCTGTTTCATAAAGTGTCTTGTCAGGTGGAACGAAGAATTGTTGTCACTCTTGGGCTCGCTGCTTATTATGCAGCACCACGCATGGATGCTTATGAAATTCTAATTATTTTTTTGTCTTCTGCTCCCTGACATGAAATATAAAGTGCTCATGAGTTCATTGGATTTTTTTGATTTTCACAATCTCCCCAGCGAGGGACATTATATAGAACCCTCCATTTACATCCCACGTTAAATAATTCAGATACTTTTCAAGGCTTAAAATAAATGTCATATGTTTAAACATGAAACCACTATAGGATGACATGTTACACAGCCCATCACTAACTGTGTTGGGATAGTTGCAGAATCGAATCAAGTCTTTTGTTCTGATGGTTTTGCATGCTTGCTTCTACTCTATTTGATGCTGTTGGCTTTTTAAGTGAATGAGCAGAGCAGTGTACAAATAACTTGGGCTCATGATGCATGGTGTTTTCTAAAAGAGAGTTAATTTGAAATATCTGATATTCAACCACTCTCAGTAAGCATAGTAAGAATGGCTTATAAGAATTACACATAGGCCAGGGGTCCCCAAGCTACGGCCCTCAAGCTAACTTTCCCTCAATGGAATATATACTCGTCAGTCCCAGTCACCGTTTCACTCACGGTTTTTTCCATTTGCATTCTGGGTAAAAATCTAGCTAAAAGCGCGACACCCCCCCCCCGTCGACAAGAATTTTCTAAGGTTTCTGTCTCCAAAAACTAAGACCGGCCCCCGACCAGAGAAAGGAACAGCTATGTGGCCCTCGCAGGAAAAAGTTTGGGGACCCCTGACATAGGCCTTCTCACTTTATTTATTTAAAACAGCTTTTAAATGAGCTTTTTTAATGTGCAAAGACAATGTACAGAGAAATACCTGAATGGACTCCATGATTCATAAATGGGTTCATTCACTGTGAAGAAAGACTTTGTACACATTTTGTGTGCTGATTCTTTTTATTTTATATCCAAAAATGTCAAGAGAAGGTGTTTCCAAATGTTGCGGCTCTGACTTATCTGCGGTTTATGATACACAAAAGACGGAATATTTTTATTCCTGCAATAAAAATAAATGTAAAGAATATTTCTGATAATGCATATTTTTGACAAAATCCTTTCAAAAGGTTAAAAAAAGCAGAAACAAATTATTCAACATAGTGTAGTGGTTTATGAGGCTGGTTTGCTTTTGTTATCACCTTCTTTAATTGTCTTATAATCTAAATTTATAATCTTAAACGAGTTATTGGTGGGTTATATACTGGGTTAGAAGCTGGAATGTTTGGGAAACACTGATTTAAAATGACCAAGCAACCGGTGAAAGTCATGCTCATGAATAAAGCCAGAGCAATCCTCAGTTAAAGATTATTTTGAAAGAATGCATACACTTTATAGATTGAAGTCATTTGTGATGACAAAAGCAGATGTGGATAATAGTCTATTATTTGGTGATACCTAAAAGGTATTACCTAAAAGGTATCTCCAAATAGGTGGGTGAGTGCCCATCTCCAAAGTTGGGTGGGCAAAAATCAGGGTTCACTGTGAAAAAGTTGCCAGCTTATAAGGTGTATGTCTATGAAATACCGTAATACTTTTAAATGTGTTTCATAAAACAGTAAACTATGTGTGCATAAACAACACATTTAGAAATCAAGCATTTATAAAAGTTGTTTTTGTTTTTTTGTTTATTTATTTATTTACTTTAAAATTCAATTTCACTGTAGGCTTAAGATGCCTAAACACTGTCTTTACCACTGACAACCATCCCGAGTTGTCAGTATTAACTTCCTCCTCCAAGACAACATCAAAGCCATCATCCCGAATTCAACATAAAAACCCCTGTCAGCGCACCGCTGAGCCTGGGTTCACACTCAGAGCCTTTATTTGCATTCTGCCTCCGACCTCGGAGAGGCAAAGGATCAGGTTTTTTTTTTTTTTTTTTTTGGTTTGCAAGGGGAATCTGATCTTGCAGTGAAAGCTGTTTTTCTGTATATGTAGATGCATGTTAAACATATTTGACAGCCCACTTGTTTTGAAAACAACAGTAAAGCTTTGTAGCACCCAACAGTGACAGTTTGGCAACAGCTGCTGACAGTGTCAAAGCCTCTGAACATGATTTGTATCTTTTAGAGCAATTGATGGCTGTTTGTTTGCAACAACGGCAGTAGAGACTACTGAGCTGCCTGCTGAAGGTTTGGCTTAACTGCTGTAGAAAAAACAAGCTGAGGAAATGGAGCGGGGATTGAGAGATCATAGCTGGGACTGAATCTTGAGCCACCTATAAGCTGAGAAAATAAACAGAATGAACTCCAGATTTCCCTGAGTTATTTCTTAAAACTCAAACAAGACCTTTACTGACATTATTTAGGGGTATGTCTTTCCCCTGACTTGACCCAAATCACATAGGGGAATTTGGTCCAATTAAAGTATATGGCAAGATGGCTTTTAGATTAGGTGCTAGTGTGTATGTGTGAGAAAGGTTTCATGAATAATACATCCTGTTTAATTGCTGTGCTACACAAAGATGGGCAGCTTGGCATGATGAGAGTTATCCACTCAGCTAATGAGGAGTAAAATGTTAGAAAGAGAAATAGGTTGTATGCATTTTTGCTGCGGTCTGGGCCTTTATTGCCTGCTCTGCTATTTCCACCTTTAGCTTTTTTTTTTTTTTTTTTTTTTTGTCAGTCCACACTCAACCTTATACTCCCATGCCCCATTATCCGGGGTCGTCTGGTTTCCTTGCATCATGGTGGGTGGTGGAAGTAATGCAGGTGTGCCCAGTTGGAGGCACAGCTGCACCACTGCTCCAGACACTACCCGAGCATGGGGTATAAAGCCGTCACCAGAACGGAAAGGGGGACAGCTGTATGCAGACAGCCAGTCCCAGCTTAGTCCTGCCTAGTCCCACAGAGGCAAGTTAAGCTCAACCAAAACCTGTTGGTGTGCAGCACCGACAGGATTCCCTCTTAAAACGTGTGCTGAAAATAACTTCATTATGTTTGATCTGTACCAACCATTCCTCAATCTTGTCACTGAAGGTAATATTAGGATAAAGTGCAGTGCCATTCCTGCACTGAAATTCAGGAAGATAAATAATGATCTAATCCTATCATTATTCTAATCATAAATAGATAAATAATCAATTTCATTCCCCTGTTATTAATTGAAATGTTTAAATGGGCATCAAACTTTAAACAAGTTTCAAAATGTCTTTTCTTGTGAGGTGAACTGGTATAGATGTCATTGTCACTAAGCGCATTATTAATTATTTTCATAAAAAACAGTTGCTGTTTTATGTCCACTGATATTTTTCCTGTCTGTCTTTGGTGATGAAATCTTTGACGTTGGCAGACCTACTTGCCATCACCCTAATCATTGTAGCTCTCTCCAGTACATGCATATTTTTCTGGTGTATGTCTTAATTCATATCTTAATTGTGATTCACGATGCGAACAAAGACATTTTGCATAAAACTTTGATCAAAAGGTCGAGCCATTGCAAGGTTATTATTAAACAAGACAACCTAAGTAAAAATCTTAAAAACTGGCATATGGCTGGCAGTTTGGTGGTTAAAGGCCACCCCCGGTGAGAATCAAGCTTTTGACCTTGTTAACACATCCATATGGTGTTTTTATATGCTAGAATGCATAACTGGAGAGAAGAAAGCTCTCGACGGCACCGCTTAGTAATTCTTCACTGTTAGTACAATATAAATACTGAAGTCTCAACAAACTGATTCAAACAGGCAGACTTTACACATAATCTAAAAAACAAATAACCTGGAGGAACATTGTCAAAGACGCTTTATAAAATGCTGTAACAAAATATCATTGTTTCCATAATGCAGCATATGCTTAGAATTTCAATGTGTTTAAAAGAAGAGTTAAACTGCAACCATGAAACCAGTGCATTTTGTGGACAGTCTAGATAGTATAGTTGCCCCTGCATAAAATAAAATAAAAATAATGTTGTTTTTTTTTTCTGGGGTTATATAAAAAAAAATATCTAAACATAAATACTCAGATATGCCATTAAAACCCAATAAGATACTTTTTCAAGCAACCCCAGAAGTTGTCTGTCACTGAATCAAATTTCACCTTGAGATTTATCCTTTTTACGATTACTGCAGTACAGTATTGTCATGTGAGCCTCATGTATTAAGAGATTTGTTTTCCCTTTGATCTATAAATAATTTATGACCTAATACATCTTTTCCTCAGCAAAACGATGGGCAGTTCACTGTGATCCAGCTTGTTGGTATGCTACGTGGCATTGCTTCGGGCATGAAGTACCTTGCTGACATGAATTATGTGCATCGTGACCTTGCTGCTCGGAACATCCTGGTCAACAGCAACCTTGTGTGCAAAGTGTCAGACTTCGGTCTCTCACGCTTCTTGGAGGACGATACATCAGATCCTACGTACACAAGTGCTCTGGTAATAAAATATTTGAACTCTTACCTTGTATACACACTCAACTGATTTTTGGTGGATATTATCAGTCTTCTAAAATAAGTCAAATGAGTCCTTGCTTGACAACTCTTTGCATAGTTCTGCCAGAAGGTTTTTTTTTTGTTGTTTTTTCCGTGTTATTTTAAGGACTAAACCAGGGATTGACGTATGCCACAGTGCCCTCCCACTCTGTTCCCCCCTATCAGGACAAATGTCATCTCTCCACTTGTTTTCCTCATCCTTCTTCTGGCTAGAAAATTCCATGAACATGAGTTTTGTTATATTCACCTCGCAGTTTGGATTACAATTAGTATTGTTTCTGTGAATAGTGTCTCTCCAGACTGCGGCGGTCAGGTTTCGGTGTCACTTGCCTCATTTGGGTCATTCCCCTCATTTTCACAGGGAGGGAAGATTCCTATCCGATGGACCGCTCCCGAAGCAATCCAATACAGGAAGTTCACCTCAGCTAGCGATGTGTGGAGCTATGGGATTGTCATGTGGGAAGTCATGTCTTACGGAGAGAGACCTTACTGGGACATGACCAATCAAGATGTACGTATTTAACAAGCTTTTTGTCATTTTCACTGGTGCTGTTAATTTTTTTAGGCTAGGGGCCACCCTAAAACATTTATTCCCCAACTCTCAGCGCACATATATATTTTTGGTTCGCTGCGTTCTAATAAAGCCTCAAATTCCTCTGAGATAAAATTTGTCAATGGTGTCTCCTTTCTCTTGGCTAAACACAAGAGAAAGGAGACACACAATTATATGAAAATTCCCCCACACTTTACACACAGACATAATCAGATCATTTGAAATGCACAGCAGTGTTCAGTGGACAATTTCTGCTCTTGACTGGAGCCTCCATTTTCTGTTTCCCTCTGGGTAGTGAAGGAGAGAGCAAATTATAGGGAGAGAGATAATGAAAATAGTTTCAAATTGAAAGCGAGAACACTAATGTGCTAAGAGGGACTGAGAACCTCAACGGTTATCATATTAGCAGCTCCAGATAGTGTTTCTGCTCCATCGGGGTCCTCGTTTGGAGGTCTTGTGAATAAGATTAATCTGCGTCTGAATGGAGTTTCTTTAATGACCCTGATAATGAGCAGGGGATTGTGTGCCCTTCCTGCAAGTGTGCTTGGGGTTGTTCCTCTCTGTTAACTATGCACTACCTCTGTATACAAGTGTCAGACCTGTAAAGTGGCTTTATGGGAACTGAAAATTAAATACACTAAAAAAGGTGTTTGATTATCAAATTTTTAGCACAGAGTATGTTGCTTAAAAAAAGAAGAAAAAAAAACACCTAGTCTGTATTTTTACAGTAGTGTGTCAGGAAAATGGAACATACAGTTAACTCTACAGCACTTTTCTATTGGTTCTTTTGAAAACAACAATGAAAAATTGAAATAAACTGCTTAAAACCAGAGGTAATTTTGAAACTACACTAGAAATCAATTATATTTTGACATTCTAATTTTTTTTTTCTTTTTCTTAAATGATATGTTTTCTTGTTTGAAGCATTTTGAAAAGTGAGTAAGACAAGTAGGCATCTGTGTTACATCATAAAGTGCTGTCAAAAACTTTTTGCTTCCTTACCGATTTGTTCAGTTTTTTGTTTAATTAATTTATTTTTGATCAAATTTATTTTTTTCACATACTTAAACAAATTTTAACATGGGACAAAGATAACCTAAATATAAAATTTGTTTTTAAATAACTTTATTTACTAAAGAAGCTGTGAATTAGTTGCAAATATTTCACTAGCGATATATTGACATGTGAATAAGTCAGACAATTAATAAATACATAAAACAATACCTGAACTAATTGTCACTAATAACTCCAAATTTAGAATAGATTTATTTATTTATTTTTTGTGGGAAACTGCATGTTTTGATATGTGATATGTTCCTTAAAGTGATTTATCTCCCCCCGCAGGTCATTAATGCTATAGAGCAGGACTACCGGCTGCCCCCGCCGATGGACTGTCCCAACGCGCTGCACCAGCTCATGTTGGACTGCTGGCAGAAGGACCGAAACAACCGTCCCAAGTTTAGCCAGATTGTTAACAACCTCGACAAGATGATCCGTAATCCGAACACACTGAAAGCTATGACTCCTTTATCTTCAGGGTAAGTAAAACACAAGCTGAGTCTTTGTATTTTCAGACTGCACTTTTCTCCTTTTTGTGATTCCTTCTTCTCCCCGTGAGGTATTTGGTTGTGCGTTTATTCATGTCTCCATTGGCATCACAGAAAACAGGCCTTTTTATTTTGGTTTCTTCCGCACTGATATGGATAACATTTTTAAGTGTATGATTCATCTCAGCTTCTGTCGGCAACAAGGCTTTCAATTGTTGACTAAAATATTTGTGCTTTTGCGACAGTGTCAGCTGTGGCACTCTTCACATTTGCCAAATGCAGTTTCTCTTGTTTTTCCTGGCGCCTAGTGGTTATGTAAATTAAAGCCTTTTGGTTTGATCGATCCAAACCTTCCCACGAATGCTCCAGGCAACCCTGGGGTTGGAGCAGCTCTGCAGTTTTTTTTTTTGTTTTGTTTTTTTTAAACAAAACATTTTCAGGCATCTCTGCTTTGGGTGTTAGTTTGCTGTCAGGGCCAGGGCTTTGCTGATTTCCATTATCCCGGCCTGTGCTTTCATTTGCGGTATAGTGCAGAACCACAACCCAGATTTTCCACAGACACTCAGTGAATACGCTGGCTCCCTGAAGACTATCACCTCATTTGGAAAATACCCTTTATGAGGAAACGGTTTGGAAAATATTTTTTCATGGATTAGGCTTGTGGGATTCTCTACGTGCTGTCAAACATTTTGAAAATGTAACATAATAATTCATGTTTGAATCGTCTGCAGGTGGTCTGGACTGACCATGATGTTATATCTTCCTCTTTGAACTATTATTATTCTTAATCCATCCCTCTTATCTCCCCTGTAGGGTCCATCTCCCTCTCCTGGACCGCAGCATCCCAGACTTCTCCACCTTCAGCACTGTGGATGAGTGGCTGGATGCCATCAAAATGGGCCAGTACAAAGAAAACTTTGCCAATTCTGACTTTTCTACATTTGATGTGGTGTCTCAGATGACCATGGAGTAAGTGTTAATGATACCTTGGCCTGCACTGAAGTTCTGATAAGTGCAAGAGAAAACTTTGAAAAGTAGTGGGTGTTCAGAGGTTTGGGGTTTAAATCTTAGCAGAAACTGCGGCCTGTTGTAATTTATGCTATTTCTGGATGCTATTTTCAAATAATGTTTGACTTGGGACGCTAAACAGTGGGCACAATAACTTAAAGCTTGGGATTTTTTAAAGCCTTTTTCATGTGTTAAACAAGGCCCTACTGATCCTTACTTTAAAGAGGGAAAAAGAGCACATGGGGTTAAGTTGCTGGAAAAAAGTATCATCCCGCTTGTACAGAAACAACAAAAGTCATTTCCTGTCAGGGTTCCAACAATACAAGCCAGAGATCAGCCCACAGAGATGTTTAGCTTCAGTTTTTCAGGCAAACAGATGGTAATGTGCAATCCAACAAATGTGGTTACCGCTAAGATGCAGCATAGGAGTAGATAAATAGCTGCCCTGTTGTGACTAAATAATGTTTGCATTGCCACAACTTTTATAGAGTGAAAGATCTTTAAATAGAGTAAGCTGTAGTAAAAAAAAAAACATGTATGCATGTCAATCTAAGCATTACTTTTGCTCCATAAAAAGTGATACACCAACAAATCAGCGAAAACTTCTGTCAATTAAATATAATAATTTTTGCAGCATGTCACAACAGAGTCATAGCAAACCCAATGGAGAACAAAAAGAAAAATGTACTGATAAGATGGAAGAAAGGTTACAATAAGTGTGTACTTTTGGAGATAAGTTTAAACTCAACCAATGGAAAATATTTTTAAGATGACAAGTTATACTTGTCATGAAACATTTTTATGAAAAAATCTAATTATTACAGGAAAGAAAATAACTGAAGTAGCAGATATACAGATATTACTTTTGTAATAAATCAACAGTGGTTTCAAAACAAAGTCTTGTGGAACCTCAGATTTTATTCTGGCATTCTCAGATGTCCATTAGTGCTAACAGTTTTGTTTTCTATACATGCATCAATAATATATAGGTTGGTTATAAAATATTGTATATAGCCATTGGTAACATTAGGCTGTGTTTTTTGTGCTTCACAGTGACATCTTGAGGGTTGGTGTGACTTTAGCAGGCCATCAAAAGAAGATCCTGAACAGCGTCCAGATGATGCGTGCACAGATGAACCAGATTCAGTCAGTGGAGGTTTGACCCTCCTGAGAGGAGCAGAGGGGGGCAAAAGGTGTTGGGAGACAGGGCTCTGGACGTGGAGAATGCAGTGGATTTTCTTTTTTCCTGTGTGGCATTGTGTCTGGTCTTCCCACCAGGCTGCTATCAAGCCCCACGTTCCCCTCTCCTGTTCCCTCTCTCCTCCTCCTCTCTCTCCTCCCTGGCTCTCCCTCCATGCTTGGGATAAGTTGTGGAGAGCTGTGACGCTGCAAGTCAAAGTGATGAAGAATCCAGGCGGCCCACAGCCAAACCCACCATTAGAGCCAGAAATACGGGAGGTTAGAAGTGACCAGCAAATCAGTTTCCAATCTTCCACCAATTTTATTTGTTTCAGCATTTATTACCCCCTTTTTTTTTGTTTATTCTGCTAATTTTGTAAAGATTTTTTTTTTAAAGAGGAAAAAAAAACTGATAAGGAAAGGAGTTTATCTAAATTTATAGATGATATGAGGTTGTACACTAGAGAACTGAGTAGGAAAGCTACCCTTTAAAAGGGCAACAAAAGAAACGAAGGAAGAGTTGAGGAGAGGATCTTCAACAAAGTGTGGAAATTGTCTTTTGTTTTAAATGTTGGACCGCATGTGGAAACGCAGAGATCTCTGTGGCCTTTTGGAGGACAAAGGGGAACTTGACATGCACGCCCAACTGGTACCACAGGTAAATAAAAAAGGAAAAAAAAAAAAAAAAAGAAATGCAAACCATGAAATGGACAACTTGTGGCATAGACTGATGTTAAAACCACAATCAGTGAAATGGACAAATCTTGCAGTGAAATCGGCTCGACAGAAAATGGGAAAAACTTTTCTCTCACTGAGAGAAATTTTTAATGTTGATATTTTGTATTGAAGAATCCCTCTTGCCATGCTTCCTCTAACTAAAGACTAGTTTATTTTTTTTCTCAGTGAAATATTCACAGTCTGCCAAATAGAACTCTTCCCCTTCACACTCTAGTCATGATCCTGTGCTGTACATATCAGATGCACTTGACCTGCCATAACATGATGACTCAGAGATAGTTATTCTAGGCGATTAGTTCAAGAGCTGAAGGAACGACTACAGGTACTACAGGGAGGATTTAAGTAGTTGTTGCCTCTAGCTGCATCGTTTTAGCTTGTGCAAAAAGATAGCAAAACTGACTTCCAGCAGAGATTCTTAGAAAAAGATAAAAACAAAAAATAAGAACAGGTTCTACTGTTTACATCAGACTCTACAGAGAGACAAAATAATCAAGTTACAGCATCCTCCTTCAGGGTGTTTATCTCAAGTGCCGTCTGTGCGTACTTGCACATGTTGCACTCACATGTCACACACACAAAGAGAAAGGTAGCTTCTAACAGTGTCAAATCTTGTGTTTGATAGCATGCTGAGTGAGTGGTTAATTTCACAGTGCTTTGATTTGCAGCGATTAGTCTAGTACTATATTCAGTATTCTTCCAGTTTTCCTGTTTAAAAAAAAAGGATGTTTATGCTTCAATGATTAAAGTTTTGATACCACACAGTTGTTTTACATTCACAGTCATGTCACAGTCATACGCTTGTTGAATAAAAACTAAAATGTGTGCTATATTGTTGCAATTCTGGTATGACTATTTTTGAATTTCTATTGTTCCCATGAGTTTTGAGTTTATTTTTTGTTACCAACTCTCGGGATCTTCTTGCTTTCCATTTATTTTTGAAGGACAAATCATGCACAAAACCATGTAGATAAAGCTTTACTTGGTAAAAGCTTCTGTCTTCACATGTATGCATTCATTGTATATTATTTTATGATGACTAACTTTTACATGAGTACAGAACTGCCAGTCCTGGTTTGTGTTGTTGCTGTTAACCTGTTGTAAGTTTTGTAAAAAAGGGGAGATGGAGTTCAAGAAAACCCCGTGACTCTTCAAAGATGGTAAATCAGACATGGGTTTATGCACACGACCAATAAATGATAAGCAGTAATGCCGAGCTCCTGCCGGGCTCTGCCCTGAGAGCTGACAGACAGACATGGGTGTCCAGCTGTGAGCCATCGGTCAGATGTGTCTGGTCACAGTGGGGCGGCTGCACCCAGATCACAGCTTCTCTGCCCAGGCACCGATTTCTTCTCTCTGTCCTCCTGATAACACACATGCCTGTCGACCACCTGTCAAACGGCTTCTTCTGATCTACTCTTAGTCGGCTTTGGCCAGTTGTCTGGTTCCGTCTCGGCGTGTTTAAAACGCATCAGCAGCAGCAGGCATATTAACATTCAACAGCATAGCAGTTGTGTCTTGTCTTGTCCTAATGGTATGTGCCACTGAGATTCCTCCAGACTGGACAATGCTTCTCATGTTTACTTGAACCAAACCTTCAGACGCTGACCTGAGTTTTCATGTTCCAACTACAGGCAGCTTTGGCACTAAACACTCTCTTTGAAAAAAAAAAAAAAAGAGAGAGAAACCTCAGTTACTCCACCACTGTCATCCTATCTTACTTTATCCCCAGCTGTCCACCGACTTTAAAGCAGAGAGGGATTGATTTTTTTTTTCTTTTCCTCTGCAGCAGGATACATAATAGCAAATATTGCGCTGGAATTTTTTCATGAAACACTTTGTAAAAGTAGAGGGGGAGAATCGTGAGCCACAGAAAATGGGGAAGCAAAGTGAGAGGCAGTACTGTGACCTAGATGCCACCAATACTTAGTGTTTTTTCTGACCTTTTCCCACTTCTATTTTTTTATTTCGCAGCATGTACCAGCTCATCAGTTTTGTTTTAAAATGTAGCATGTATTCTCACAGTGTGGGAAATATTCCGTCATCAGGAAAAGCTCTTAATGTGCAAGAAATTAATTTGCAGTATGCGAAAGGCTGGCAAGGTACGGTATGTCGTTACTCCAGCCCCATCATGGCTCATTCAGAGGCTTGTCTCTGGATGCTGCCAAGACTTTGAGTTATTAATCAAGCAATTATTCTTGACATTTACTTTAAGGAACTACCTTAAAGAGGTTGTGGGTAATCCCTTCTGATTACTGTCTATTTTTTTTTTTTTTTTTTTTTTTTGCAAGGCAAGTACTTTTGCTGGTTTTGCATTTTAAATTTCAGATTTGCATTATGAAATTAGAAAAAAAAATATTTGCATTGTAAAATTTTAAAAAGTAATCTAATTCTTGCAACTCTACATTGTTGCAGTTTAGGGAGCACATTGAACAGTGGGCCCCTTATGTTTAATTTAAGCAACTGAATACAGAGTGTTAAAATGTATAAAAAATGAGGTTTCTGATTCATCCGTGACACATTTATGGCAAGAATATTTCTGAAGGAATTTTCACTGTAATTATTTTTTTATTTCCTCTGAAATGAGACAGAATATTTGATGTAAGTGAAATGATTCCCTCAAACGGCAATGGATATCAAAATTAAGATATGTAGTTGGATATTTTTATTATTTGATGATTACTCAGACAGTTGGTGATTTGTAAATATATACATATATATAAAAGATAATTGTGCACATTGCTTAATTTACATACATATTCTCCTGCTGCACTCATTAAAAAAGCTTTTTACTTTTTTTTTTTTTTTTTTAAATGCCTTTTGGCTCTGACGTCAATGATTGCTTTCCACATTTTCAAACTACATTTTTCTGTAGCAAAACAATTAGTTTAATCTTTATATCTGCGATGCAAAGCAGAACTACTCAGCCTTCCCTTTACAGTGTGTCATTTTTTAAAGGACGGAGGAAAAGGGTAAAGTCTGAGTGTTACAGTTACATGATAAACATGAGCCGATCCATGTTATAAAGAAGTCAGCCTCATGTTGTGTAGTTTAACAGCTGCAGCGGGAAGCAGCATGGCGCCCTCTACTGATGTGTTTCAAATGTTCTTAGACTGACATTTTCAAGCCCATTTAGTTTGTGAATTCTGCAGCAGGCAAATCTCCAGTGTTTTGGAGACTTGAGCAAGCTGCTGATGGACAAATACTGGCTGCTGCTAAGAGTAAGCCCGTGTATTTTCCCCTGTTGAACAAACATTTGTACCATTACAGCGTCCTGGCAGATGTTTTCTCCTGTGTGACTGTGTGTTCCCCTCTGTTGCTCCCACCTGCCCCCAACATCTACCCCCTCCACCAAATACCACTCTGGCTCCTGATTAGTGCAGTTAGGGGGATATCCCTGTTCCACTGATCTGTTAATGCCCACATAATAGACCAGTGCCGGTTCAGACCACTGTGACTGATGTGGGAGATCCTGTATTTCTGTATAAAATGTATATTGACTGTAACCCTGTGAATGATGTAACAATTTCATTATTTGTAATATTGTCATTGTTTTATTTTCTAAAATGGAAAGCCCAAATTGACTCTCCTCAATAAAAAATAAGATCTGTTACGAAAAACAGAAAATGTGGCCAGTAGTTGATTTATTTACCACATTTCAACTATTTTTTTCCGCTCTAGACAAAGAACCTGTGAAAGCCCACAGGGTTGTTAAATTATGGCATTAATTTTTAAAAAGCTGTAAAATGTAAAAAATTCAAAACACAATTAAGCATTGCAAAATCTATTCAATAATATGAATTTAATCATACCAAATTCAAATAGGATTATTTCCATTTTTTAATAATGTAAATAAATCTTTATATCAAAATCCCCAACCAAACTTGTAGCAAGCTCCATTTGTTTGTCTGTTTTATTTAACTATTGTAGATACAATGTTGGTATTTTTATGCATAAAACCATTAGTTGCCATAAACTAAATTGAAACCAACTATAATATTGGTAATTTCAGGATAGGAAAACAAAACAGACAGAGAAGCATGTAACTGGTGTTACAAAATTATAATTTAAAATATGGCAGTGATATAAAACCCCTAACCAAATGTAAAATAATTTTTTATCACTAGTCAATGTTAAATCTAATAAAATCAGAACGCTGCTTTACATTTTTCTGTTTGTTAATTTATTTACATACAGTGAAAGAACGTGGAATCCTGCTAATTTCTTTCTCACTTTAAGTGTATTTCATGATTTTTTTATGAAATGGATGTAATATGAATGGTACCAGGGACGATGTAATTTATTTATTTATTATAAGAATATAGTTTCTATTAATATTAATGCACAGATAAATAAATGAAATCTTGTGACAACGAACCGTGAGTGTAAAGCTTCATAATTAAGATTTGGGCATTATGAAACCTTGAACCTAAATACAACTGATATTTGTAAGTTCAAAAAGGAAGATAAAAGAAACAAATACTTGTTAAATCCTACGCCTGCTTAACTTATCCTTTATCTCATTTAACATCTGTAAAGAACCTACCTAAACAAAACCTTATAATAGATGCACATTTAAATGTCAATCTTACTAATTATCAATAGATAATTATTCACTTTTTTCTTGCTGTGCACAATTTAATATATTAAATAGTATATGCAATTAATCATGCTTAATGTATAGCTGCAGCTACTATATCGCCTAACAGTATACAACTCACCTGGTACTTAACACGGAGTTACACATGAACAATAGGAGTAGTTCATACTATAGAATTAAATCAAGCAGTGTTACAGAAACTCTGTTTAATATTGTTGCATATTATATGTAAGAGAAGATAAAAGTGTAAAAGAAATAAACAGCAAATATCAGGTGTTTTGCAAATGGAAGAATTAAGTCACATTCACAATATAAAATAATTAAAATAAAGGACTATAAATTAGTTCATGAGTACATTTGAAGTATTCAAAATAATTTAAAAATACATATCAAATTAGGAATTACAGCAAAAAAACCTGAAATCTAATATACAAAAATAAAATAATCTAAATTCATTTATAAAAGAATATTATACTGACAGTTATTTCAAATTGACAATAGAATTAAACTGCATAATCACTGCACATAAAGAATGCAGTAAATGCATCACCAGTTATATTTCTGTAATTATGTAAAGAGGAAAAAAAACAATTAATGCAACAGTAGTCTATGGATGCTTTTGAAAATATTTTTGAAACCACTTTAGCAAGCCTTCAGTTGCAATATGTTTGCTGAATGTTACTATGTTTAGTAGCTGCTTAAATTTATATAAAAAAAATCAACTTTACCTTGGGTTTCCATTTTGCTGTGGAAATGAGCTCTAGTAAGGTGAGATGAGCCAGTGGGGAGTCTTTAATGTGGAACGGAGGGCAGGGGCTTGTTATTCTGCAACAGTAAATTCTAAAGCTGGTAGTCCAGTGACCTTGTCAAAAATAAGAAGAAAAAAAAAGTTTGCATCTCACTAAGTGACAAAATGCTGGGTAGTCACTGCAAAATAAAATCAAAATTTTATTTTGCAGTGACCTAAAACAGAAAAAAGATACTCTACCAAGTTTTGGACAGTTGTTCAGAGCTTAGTATCTCGGTATTTCAAGGTATTTCATCATTATTTATTTCAGGGTAACCTTAAAGACCAAACAGAAAATTGATTTAAGACAATTTAATATCTTTCATAGCAATATGTTTTCTAACACTGAATAACAGAACAATTTCATTCAATATTTTTCACATTTCATTGAGCTCACACAAAGATTTGCAAAAGAAAAATCCTTGAGAAATAATCCAAATTCCTGGAGTTTAAACTTTAATACGTGTCCCTCTAATACACAACCATAAGAACATGGCTAACAAGTTTGTGCCTGCTTTCATGTCCACAAATGTCACATTGGATACTCATCAGAAAGGACTTACCCAAAGGCAGCTGCAAATCCAGAGATCATTTTTGAGGTCAAATTAAACATTTGAGTTACTATTACTTCTCTTGGTGTTGCCCTCAGAGCCAGACTGCTGCAGATTGCTTGATGGTTTTATGTCAAAAGCAATTTAGACCAAGGGTACTGCCGTCTCTCACAGCCTCAGTTTCTCAAGTGTGGGTCAGACTGCCTTCACCCTGCTTGGAGATTTTGAAACCTCATTAGCAGCCAACGCGTGAAAGGCTACAGACCTTGGCCTGACCTGGCGGAGAATGGCGCGTGCGTTAAGAGGTTTACCCCATGGGCAGGAGAGGAGAAGGTTCAAGAGTTCAGTGGGGAGGGGGACCCCAATGGTATGCCGAGCCCTCAGAGCTGCTACCTTTTGACCACCCGTAAGCAGCCAACCCCAACACCTGAATGCCTAAGAGCTCAGTATATCAGAGAATCAGAGAAAACCGATAGAGACTAAAATGTCAGAGCTCATGGGAAAAAAACGTAAGACCGGGGAGAAAAACAGGGATTAGGCATGATTACTGTGATCTGCAGCTGATGTTGTATTTGTTATTTAGGTAACAGAAATAATAAAATCAGGCATCAATCTATAACCGAAATGTAAGTTTGCATTTTTGGCACAAATGTAAAGATGCTTTCAGTCAAATTTATATCAAATGATAAGTAGAATTTAAAGAGGATGGAAAATTATAGAAAATTTAGTAATGTCTGTGTAAGCAACTCATTAGCCTTTATAACTTAATAAGACAAAGGGCATAATTTATTTAGTTAACTGTCACTTAACTAAGAAATGCCTTGAGATCAACATCTCTTTTTCAAGGGAGATAAGACCAATAAGGAACACAAATTAGGAGTACAATTAGTCTACCTACATCTCGAAATACAATTTACATCCAATACTAGCATAGATTCCAACTTCAGTCGGCAGCTGGAGAATCTGTCCCACATTTGGTTGTAAAATGTAGAATAATTGAATAACATATCTCTTCTTTGTAAAGCATCATTATCATTGTATAACCATAGTTTTTAAGAATAAAATATGGCCCATTCTAAGGTAATATCTGTTAAAACATACAAAAGTAATGTTTCCAAAAAACAGAAAAATCTGAGTTGAAAATCTACATTTTAAAACACAAATTTATCACAGCAGACGTTGAACATTTGAACACAATATTTTTCCTGCTAGAGGTATGTTGTTGAATACTGTTCACAAAGACAGTTTTTCTAAACACCTTTTTTATATTATTTTTTTATATAAACATCACCACTTCATTGTTTAATCCAACATTTATCATAATACATAATTCTATTCATTTATTGGGTGCAGAAATAATGTAAAACATTGCATTTCTCATTAAAATATTATATAAAAAGAAATGCCTTTTATAATTGATATATTTTACATTGCTTTCTTACCCTTTTTAAAGTGCCTGTGTCATTTCCTACTAGAAACATAGTTACTGGGTGAAGCTAAAGGATGTCTGCCAAAGCCTGTGCTTTTAAGTACTGCCAGAAGCCACGTTCTGTTACTTCCACAACTAAAATTAAGAGCAAAGGAATAATGGCATGAAAAAAAAAAAAAAAAAAAAGCATTCGCAGCATCTTTGCGATATCATAGGAATTGGACAAGAGCATGGACAAAATTCTGTTGGCCACATCTGTCGTTACCAAAACACTGGGAAACATGTGCGATCATTTTGCAGATCAAAGAAAGTTTACTGGTTGCCTTTGTGGTAACTCATAAACGGACCAATCCATCAGTTAGTTTTAGTCAGGAGTAAATTCTCATTTCTCATGTGCAGTTTTATGGAGGGCAGTCTTGATGTTTAATATAGTTTTTTTATATATATTTTAATGCACATTTTTGTTGACTTAAGAAAACAAATATGTTTATATTTTCTACCAGAAAAACAAATATTGGTAGAAAACAAGTCATGCATGAATGTACATTCGGTGAAGCAGAAATACCAGGACCGTATCGGTTTTTGTAAGTTGAATTTATGTGTGTGTGTCTACGATAAGGTTTCTAAAAAAAAAAAAGGTACATAGACACAACATTTACTTTGTTTAAACATTCCCAGATGCTTTTTTGTTTTTTGTTTTCTTGAAATTACAAAACTTCTAAATGCAACCAAGAGGACTGCAGAAAGAAGATTAAATGATAAACATTTAATCACAAATTATTTGTGCAAAAAAATCACATCTGAACTCAAATCTGATTTACACTGCAATTTCTTGTAATAATTATAGCAACTACTACTAATAATATGAAATAAATGTTTTATACAAGAATAATTGTTAGGATCTTTTTAATTTTTGTGTTTTATTACTTATGTTGTAACAGCAATAACAGTTGAATATGTTTATGATTTATACAGTTGTACAAATAAAAAGCTGTTTTGTGTGATATTTCAGAATAATATATTGTTTACTTTTTATAAGACAGCATGGAAATAAAAACAAAACATAATTTATACAAGTACTGTATGATTTATAATTATATAAAAAAATTATAAGGATGTGCATATATATTTAAGAGCTATGAATATATCTACAACAGAAAGAAACTCCATGCCAAAATAAATATATCTGATCAAAAGTCCTTGTGAGACAATTTTAAAGGCAGCAGGTCAATGAAAATTTGCTACAATGGTGCTGAGATAAAAACTCTTTGTGGCCACTAAGAACATTAGGAACAACACGGGTAAGAAAGGTAGAGTTCACAAACTCATGTTGTGTGGAAAGATTTCCAAATGGGTCAGAACTGTCACAAGTAATTTACATCATTTCCCGTTCCAAACACATGATGGAGAGTGGAATCAGAATGAAATAAGACATAGTCCTTCCTCCGAGCGCAGGGATCATGGATCTGTTTACCGCACAACTAACCTTAATTGGAAAGAAGCAGGACGCCATGAATTGAACTAAATTGAATTGAAGATAGTGGCTAATGTAATACATACTGCTAAAATACCCTTTGCCTGAACCGATGAATTAAAGCAAATGTCAACAACTGTGCCTGGGCTGCAGAAAATTACACCCGGCTCAACCTCTATCCTGCAGTTTCTTGACATGGGCCAGTAGGTTCAGTAAATATTACTGAAAGGCTAATGCAGTCCTTGTAGGAACTTTAAATAAAGGCCTCATTTATGGCATGATCCCGTGGCATGACAATAAAATAGAAGCAAAAATTAGGCTAAATCCTGTCATTGACACCTATAATTAAAAGAAAAAAATGCAGTTTCCTATTTTAGTGCATCCTAGGACATTATATATCATTTATTTGTATTGCATCGAGTGAATATTAGTAGTCCCATGGGGCTGATGAAAAATATTAATAAATGCTTATGAGTAAAAAGATGATTTTTCAAAATCAGGAGCAAAAATAAACATGCGGTTATACAATGCCATGTTACTGGGCTACAGAGCGCAGATGTCAAATCACAGATTTTGCATTTTCCCTACAACGCAGAGAGACATGTGAACTCTCTGTGACTCTCTTTTAGACTCTCAACTCCCTCTCCTTGTAATGCTCTTTCACCTCAGTTACCCAACTTGCAGATGCCACATCATTTCGGGTAGAACTAAAGACAGTGTCTTTCCTTCTTGCAAAATTGCTCAGAGGAGTTTTTCTTTAGGTTCAGATGCAGGTATGCTAATAGCAGAGCTGACAGTATACAAGGTATGATTTAGAGATGGGGCTTAATTTAAAATTAATTCCAATCTGAGATCTATGTTAATTTGGAATAAATTGTCTTCTAATGCATATTTTTGACATTTTACTTTTTTTCCCCTTTTTTAGATTTTCTGTCTTTTGAAACTTTATGGATTATAGATCCTGAAAGGAATAATGCTGCATTGCCCTCCAGTGGCAAAAACAAAGAATCACACTATGTCAACGTTCAATATGTTATATTACTGTTAAAACTACATGATTTCTTTAAGTTACTGTGTGTGTGTGTGTGTGTTGGGGGGGGGGGTTCTGCTATCACTTGGACAAAAATGAAAGGCCAATACCGTGGTTCACTTTAGATGGTGTTTATTGTGCTCATCTTCAGGTGAAAAAAAAGTTGTGGATGGACATCCAGGCAGGTTAAAAAAAGAGAGATAAGAAAAAAATACATTACAATAATTTTTAACTCAAGCAAACTCGTATCAAAGTATACAAAATAAATAAAATAATCATAACACTGAAAAAAAAGAAGAAGAAAAAAAAAAAGAAACCTGTAACCAAAAGTTTCGTGAGTAGCACAAGAACAACGTCCTGATGACGTCATTATGACGTAACCATGTGACTCCCTCCCGGTGTGCTTCAATCCGGAAACAGCTTGGCTTGAACATCTGGACCGGGAAAATGTTTGACGCTGGAAGCTACAAGCTAGCATGAACATGACAACTGAGACAGGAACACCGTGTGTGCATCCACAACGAACCGCGCCAGGTGGTGCTGAAACCAAAAAGTAAGTTATGCCTGGTGTGCGGATGTACTTGCCTGTCAGCATGGACGTCCAAGCTCGTGATGTCTCCTCAGTCAAAGTCAACTCACAGTATCAATAAAATGCAGCGTTGTCTAAATGACCCCCACTCCCCAAAAATAAATAAAATAATAAAAAATAAGAATTAAAAAAAAAATAATCACAGATTCCCCTCCCCACCACCATATCTACATTTCAATTAATTTTCTTAGGTCAGTGTTGGCCTTTCTTTGATTTATTTTGTCCTCTTTCCATCTCTATAGATAACTCCCACGTGACGTCACACTTTATAAATCCGGGTGCTCTCAAATACATATTAAAAGGTTGCATTGCGGGAAAAAAAAGAAGCAAAACATTAATTTCCAAGCTGCAGAAAAGTAATTGTTAGGGATATTCATATCTGATTTTAATACTGTTGTTATATCAATGTTTACAAATACTTATCAATTTTTTTATTTGTTACTCCATTAATCTTTACAATAATCAACAGATTACTTGATTACTAAAATAATAATTTGCAACAGGCCTAGTATTAATAGTTCCAATGATTACATATTATTTTAATTAAACCTGAAAAAAACATTAACCATCATTTGTTTGGTCAAATAACAGATGATCCAATGCAGCTGAAGATGGCATTTAGATAAAGAGCAAGGGCTCCAAACGTCAGACTTATTATTTTTCAGGCACCATCTTAATGGTTTGAGAAAGGAGATTTTTTTGGTTCACTTCATTTAGATAAAACATTTTAGCTGGCGAGCTGAAATGGGCAGAAGACCAGAGACTAGAGAGTCTTTGATAAAAAGTATATTGATTCATGTTACAAATCTGTCAAAACCTATGGAGCTGAGAATAAAATAATAAAATCAAACTCTAATTTTTGAGTTAAATTCTGAAGACAACATGCAATCTTTTTTTTTTACATATAGACATTTTTCAGCATTTACGAGAGATGCTACTTAAAATATGATCAAATTTAACGATTCCAATGTTCGGGATCTATCAACTTTGTTTTCCTGCTGATTTTAAATACAGTCTGTTTTGTGTATTAATTAATTCAAATATGGAAATAATATCTGCAGTGTTTTTTGAAATTTGCTATTAGGTCTGTTCTTTTTTTTTCTTTGCCAGAAATGATACATGGTCTTTCTGCTCTGCTGCCTAGTTAAAAAAAAAAAAAAAATCATTTTATATTTTTTTTAAAATCCATATCGAAACCAGAAGAGAGACAACATGTCTCTCATGGTTTAATTTTGGGATCGCCACAGAGGATTAGTATACATTGGTTGATATCCTGAAAATGTACATCAGGAAATACAACTTTCATGATTCTGTTATCAGTATTGACCTGATGGTTATTAAAGTATTCTTTATTCTGTTTTTTATTTCACATCTAGGTCAGCCAGTTGCCTGCAACTTTTTAAATATTTATGCTCAGGAGAAACATCACAACCCCCAGGCCTTTACGTTCTTACTGTTTTCACAATGTTGAAAAGGGTGAAGAAGATCAGGCTGGATTTAGATTACTGTCTTCCATGTTGTCTACAAAAGACACCATGAGTAACGGGAACCATTCAGCCTTAAAAGGCAGAATAATTCACTTGCACATGATACCCACATTACAGGTTTCCCCGTAAAACATATTTATCACCGGATAACCTACCATTTTCCTCAAAGCAGTTGAGAGCTGCACGTCACAAGAAAGCCTCGTTATTTATCCAGCTTGCCACAGGGTGGCAGTGTTTGACAATTTTCCAATCAGTAAGATTCTGGAGGACAGCTCCCTCAACCATCCCCCCTTACCCCCGCAAGGTCTCAGCCTGTCTAGACATCTTGCAATTTTCCTCTTTTGTGAGAGTGAGTAGAGAGAGATAGGAAGAGAGAAAGAGATTTTTAATACAAATAAATTTAGTTTATCCACTGTTGTTTTGCCCGAGCTGATGACATTTGTCAACAGAAGAAATGGGACTCAAATCGGGCCTCAAGGAGAAATAAGAGGCAAATAGGACATCGGTCAAGGCACGGTAATAAACGTCAGCTGCTGTGTGGTAATATTTTCTCCGCTGATCTCTGGTCAGGTGGAGACAGTGACAGAATATTTTAAGATGCAGCAGAGTGTGTCTTCCAGTCTCAACAGATTACTAAGCCTGGGTGTAATCCCAGGAAGGTCATAGCTCACCTTTAATCTCCTCCTATGTGTCATTATACGAGCAGTTCTAACTACAGTTCCACAAATGACTGATTGGAGGACATTATTAACATGGCACTCACACCATACCATCTGTTCATGACTACAGATGAATAGCATCGTGTTTTGATGTGCAGTGTATTATTTACTGGGGCCTCGGAGGCGTTGGATACTATGTGTATTTAAATTTGCACTGGCACAGTCATAGTTTGAGATGTAGAGGGATAAATGTGAAAGAAAGTGAACATTAAAAAAAGAAGTCTTGTTTTCATAATAAAAGTAACAAAAATGCATGCATGATTATTATTTTTTGTTAAGTGCAAATAGTTCATATAATGGTGGCATCAATTTAACTATTTCTATTTTCTTGTTATACCTTTGTGATTAATTTTCCTCTAGGAGTGTAACATTTTCTATCATTTGTAAAGTTTAATAATGTGCTTAATATTTTTAAAATAATGAGTTAACTATCCAAGGATCCAAGTTTTTTTTTTTTTTTTTTTTTAGCCTGCTGTATTTCAAGAAACACATATCTTTAATTTAATATATGCAAGCAAACTGATATTTCGCAAACTGATCCTTACTAAAGTCAAAACATCAGACACTACATGACAAAATGGTACATTGGTACTTTCCAAAGTAGCTTTTTTATTCAAAATTGGGACTTTTGCTGGGTTGAGATAAACAGCAAGTGGAGTCAATCCATCAAACTTTTTGGGGTAGAATGACAGTTGAGCTAAAGGGGTTAAGAGAGAAGAGGAGGATGATAGATAGAGCTGCTTTGACTACCACAGGCTATGGGAGATGTTTCATGGTATCTGTTTGCTCTTAACTCACGTTCCTAGTGCTTCTGCACCAGCCATTCAATTTATCTCATGCTCAGATGTCTTAGTGCCCCTCACTGAGTAATGCTGGCACAAAGTCCTTAGAATGCATACATGTATTGTGGAGTTAGGCTTGTCTATGACACACTGGCATTTGCCAAATAGGAAGGTGTTAAATGATAAGGAAGGTAGACGTAAGTGATGGCAAAACTCCTTGCTGTGACTCTCTCTATTGCATCCCTTAGATTGGAGTAAAACTGATGGTGACATTTCTCCTTTTTCTTCATTTAAGTTCAAATAATTGGAACTTTAGAGGAGAGAGCAGGAGAGGTTAGGCATTTTATTTCTGGTTACGTTGCAGCAGTTCAGCCCCTCTATGTATGACTTGTCTAGTAATGATGCTGTTGTTGTAGCTCTTCTCACTTTGTTTACTGTGGCTGCTGTGAAGTATGACCTAAAATATTCAGTCAAATAGCTGATTAGTGCAATAACGACAATTACACTGAAATGTTTAACTTGTAAATATACCTTTCAAATATTTGTTCTGGGCACTAAACTATTCAAGAATAAATATGGGAAGACTTGCTGGTGTGTTTTTTTCACATAAACCAGTTTGTCTATGAATCTCTCATTTTGTTTAAAATAATGTCAGACCCTTTAAAAAACACTGGGCAATCTGACTTCTATTCCGAATCGAGGCATGAAGAAAATGTATCCAATTTGTTATTACTACAGACAGAGAGGAAAAAGGAAAATGACTGTTTTTTTTTTTTTTTTTGAAATTCAAACATTTACCATTTAAATAGAACAATTCTTCAGAATTTTGCATCTGTATGCATGGAATAGAGAATCTTCTGGAACCTATTAACCGTGGATTCCAGCCCAGAAGGATTGGAGTACATTTCAAAATTACTTTGCATTTCTTATATTCTTCAAAAACAGTATATGTGATGTCAGTCAACAAGTTGTTGAATTAAGATCAGGGATTTGTGGTGTGCCACTCCAAAATTTTAATTATCTTGGTTTAAACCCAGGTGGTATTTGCTCTCTGGTATGTTTGGGATTGTTGTCTTGCTGAAACACCCAAGGTCATTATGTCAGCACAGGAGAACAAGACCTCTCCAAGAATTTTGATGTGTTCAAACTCATCCATGATTTCTTGAATATAACCCAATACAATACATCACTAAACATCCCAATATCACGACGCTTAAGCCACCATTCTTCACAAATTGCAATCCGAAGAACTCTTGAACTCCAATTTAATGTTATTATTTCATGAAGTGGTAAACCATTTCTCTTTCAGTCACTCAGTGTGGCAAGTTCTAACCTTTTCAACCCATGTAATTTTCTAAACAGTGAGTTTGGAGCTCAACATTGACTGATTTGTTGCCATTTTGATTATTAGTAATTCTGAATATATACACAAATAAAGGTGACTGAACTTCCTATTTCTGTCAGTGTGAACATGTTTATTGAAATTAATGAAATAGTGATAATAGGGTCTGCCAACCATATTTCATGTGATGATAGATTTATACAATACAGATGTGAAATTATCTTGTAATCTCTTCACTGCTTCGTTCATTTTAAAGTAGGATTTGCCATATAGAAATTAGGTCATAAGAATTTGCCATAATAGTGTGAAAAGCCCAGTTATATTTGTGATTAAATGTCTTCTGTAAAGTATTTTGGAGCAAAACCTAGAGCCGGTAAAGTTCAATAACAGCAGCACTACATAATGTGGTACAATTTAAGAATGGGTCAGCACAGTCCATATGGTTTCACTAACAATAAATACAGCAGATATTCTGTGATTTAATTTTGCAGTTCTTATTTTAAAAGCTGTTAATATAAATCTTAAGTGAACTTTTAGGGGGTTTTTTTTGGACAATATAAACATATTGATAGAACCTGTCTTTTAGTCTGGCTTCCTTGGGGCGGTGAGTGCCTTTGAATAAACTGGGGACCCTGAGCAGAGAAGGACAATTAAACAGCTGTCACAGTAACTGACAGAGAAACACAGATCTCAGTTAACACTTGGCAATTACAGCTTTAATTAAATACTGTAATTGCCAATTAAATATTCTCTGTTTTAATGAAAGTCAAAAATGCAAGTGATTATTGGCTTTAGTCAAATAAATGAATTCTTCTTCCTACTTGCAGGACAGAGTTTGAGAACAATTAATTACAGTCTTGCAGTTGTTCCCTTTGTCCCTGTGGCACAAGTAAGCAGCAATAAACAACTAGACCCCTCTGAAGCTGAGCCCATGATGAAAACTCCCTTAATTTTAATAAAGCAAACAAAAATTGTGCAGCAACAGCAAGAAACAAAACATATAACAAAAAACTAATGTATATAATCTAAAATGATGACCAAGGAAGTAGTGGGGCTGGAATCACAGATGTGGGTTGGGGTGAGCACAATGTAAAAGTTGCAAAAGCACATTCCAAATTAAACGCCGGACACAAAACTTTACAAACATAACACAACCTGGTAAACTTCGAACTTCGAAAATTAATTATAGCATTTACTGAAAGTAGTGTGAGGTTATAAGTACCATGTGGGTTTAATTTTCATGAGCTCCATTTTAAGGGTGTGAAGATTTCAACTGAGGGTCAGGAAAAGGCCCAGCGTCAAGTGGAAGTATCTTGGGGTCTTGTTAGTGACTGAGGAAAAAATGGAGTAGGAGATCGATAGGGGGATTGTTGTTGCATCTGCAGTGATGTGAGCACTGTACCGATCTATCATGGTGAAATGAGAGCTGCAAACCGAAGCTTTGCGTTCCGAGACCGAGATGGTCACAAGCTTTGGCCACTGACTGTAAGAATGAGATCATAGATACAAGCGGCCAAAATGAGTTTTCTCTGCAGGTTGTCTGGGATCTCCCTTATAGATGGGGTGAAAAGATCAGTCATCCAGGAGGGACTCAGAGACAAGTTTTCTCCACATGGAGAGGAAACACTGGTGAGGTACTCCAGGCATGTACCATCAGGAGGAGAAGGCCCAAGACACACAGGAGGGAGTTTGTTTCTCGCCTGACCTGGGAACGGTTTGGGGTTTTCTTGGAGGAGCCGGGAAGAGGGAAGTCAGGGTCTCTCTGCTTAAGCTGCTGATCCTGGAAGATCATTCATGGATGGATGGATAGAGATGGTATCAATGAATGATTGTTTCTATCTCTAATGTTTCATTTGGTGTTTTGTGTTGATTAATGCATTTCACTTGGTTGTTCAGGTGTCTCTTGACACTGTCCCTCAATGGCTAACCTATATAAATGAGGTTAAAAGAAATTCTGAAAGGTTACATGTGACTTGAAATATATAAATATTTGATCCCCCTGCCTTGTTATAACTAAACTCATCTGGGTCGACAAGATATGAAAATAATACTAAGCAACAATCAAAAATAAATGGGGTGAGAGAGAGGGGAAATATTCTAGATTTAATTCGATGAATTATGTCAAATTTGACTGTGTTTTATAGTAAATTTTATCCCAAGATGTCCTTTAAACAGTTAGTTGCCTCCTTCCTTATGTAACACAGTACCAAAGGACGCAAGGCATCCATACATTTATTATTAATTTGATTCTGCAAGCAAGTTTTTTTTTTTTGTTTGTTTAGTTTATATGCATGTGCAGTCATGCTCTGCTCACTCTACTGATTGAGATTGTCTCCTCTAAATGTCACTTTAAGTCTATTCATTACTACAACAATTTTACTTTCACAGCTGATTCAGAGGAAGGGTACAGTACCACTCAAAGCCCTTGACACCTCTCTGCATTGATGTGTTTGTGTGTATCTCTCCACATTCAGATTGGCATGTGCTGACAGAACATCCTTGCACTTGCTGACTAGCTGTGGACAGGAGGGAGATGTAGCGGTCAGAAATATTTTCCTCCTCTCATTACATGTGGAGCCATGACTTTGACAGTGATCTTCAAAACAGGAAAACAGACGGAGGCCCCCACCCACTTATCCTTGGTGATGGGGGTCGTGATGGTAGTGGGTGCTGGAACATGCTGTCTGATGTGGCAGGACTGAAAGACAGACATACGCACAAGAGAGGAGGGTAGAGTTGTATATTTAAAAAAAAACAAAAAAAAAAAAAACAGTGACGCACATGTGTCACACCTCTTACTCAGGACTTCTCCTTGGCAACTATCTCCACCCGCTTCAACTTGTTCCATGTGTGTGCCCGCTACGTGGAGTGCCCTGCACAACTTCATCTTCTCCTGGACTAATTTGAAACAGAAGCACATATTTTATTATGCTGCCAGCACAAACAGACTTAACCTTGGGTTTTGACACCACTCGTGGACAGAGCAGTATTTATATGGTGAGATCAGTGTCTGCTGCCAAACTCAGCGTGATAGAAGGAGAATGCCAGTTATGTCCACTGTTTAGGGAGGAGAGAATGAAATTGCACTGTTGTTATTTTTGTCCTGTCGTGCAGCACCACATAGAACATACACTGCCCGAAATTACACTGCCAAGTAGCACCAGGTCATCATTTTAAGCCATATCATAGCTGGACTTCCTGACCCCTGAGCTTCTGCCAGGGACAAATTAATGATGATGTCAGTTGCCAACATGACAGAAGAGTAACATGTCAAGAAGCTTGACAAAGCATTAGTGCTGAGAAATGTAATTTGAGAGGTTTTCATGATCTACAGCATTGGTGTCAAAGTGATTTTCATTTTGGTCCACATCAAGATCATAAATGTCCTCAAAAGGCCAGATGTGGCAGAATGTATAGCTAAAACTACCTACTAACAAACAGTTAAAATAGAGCTTTCTATGCATTTGATTTGTACTTCTGAAGGTTAAATAGTATTTAACATTATTCACAATGATGTAATTTGGCCCTGACCAAATAAAACCCGATTTGACTTGACTGATAAAACAATATGTAAACACACAACTGTTATCTTGAAGTTCTCTTTCTGTGGCCCCCTCTGGAGTGTCACAGAAATATGGTGGGTTTAGATTTAACTTCCATGATTTCAGTTTTAGACGAGATCTACAGTTTAACTGCAAGAAGGTACAGTATGAATCCAAAGATAATTATTTGTGAAAAGATTGAAGGATGGGTTGATTATTAGGGACAGAGTTGTAAACACAGTGATCCAAATATGATTTGTGATTAGTGAAGAGCATAAGAAACACCCTGGCCTCAGATGTAACCGATCTGGAGCTGACCTCTACATTCAGATTAGAGCCAAAATGTGGCATAAACAACATGAAAGCCAGAATCCATTTTTCCCTCTATCAGCAATGTAATATTTCTATTGCTGTAACTTTTTTGACATTCATAGAATTCTATTTGACGTCCATAGTTGTGAAAATATTATGTCATATAATAGATGCTTCTTGCATATTTCTAGTTCAAGCCATAAAATGACCTTTGACTCAAAATTGAAGAAAAAAAAAAAAAGCTCAGTGAAAATCTGTCTTTGGTTCTGAGCCTGTCAATCACCACAGTTCTATTTTTGCTTGTGCCTGAACCTTGGGGACAACTGCCATAGCTGAGCTCAGTAAATATGTGACATCTTCACAGTGGATTCTCTAGAGTTTTGTGGAATATGGAGAATTTTAGACCCACTTTTTAGTAGAGCCTTAGGTGGGATTGAGCATTTGAACCTTGTCCTTAACCACTCTTTATCCATGTTAAAGGTTATTGTATCACGCATTGTACAGACAGACATTGCTCTCACCCAGTGGAGCGTTCTTAAAATGTGTTCCAGCTTTGGAAAGATATAGCTCTAAGCTTTTTTCATACTGTAGCAAATGCAAATCAGTCATTGCACATAGATTAAGTCTGCACACATTTAACAATATCTTTCTGCTGCCTTTCACATACCAAGTGAAAGTACGTTGCTGAACAGATAAAAGTAAACCAACAAAACCATAGATTACAAACTGAGGAGTTTATTTCTCAGTTTGTAAATCACTGAAAGCTCACCTCCATTTCCCTTCTTGTTTCTCCTTCCTGCCAATAAGGCTCAAGCAGTGGCAGTTTATATGGACAACCGCTCATGTATGGCACCATCTTGTGGAGGCCGACAAACTGGCTAGGACTGCCTCTGAGCTCAAGGCATAAGAAAAAAGGAGACACGGTTAAACATGAAGATTTCCCATAATGTTGAGAGGTTTCCTTCCCTCTCATCTAAACAATACTTTGTAAATGTTTAAGGGCTGAGAAGACCAAGTGGCCACGTGGCACAATGATGCTATATGTACTATGTGGAATTTGTCATTGGTTTACTAAGAAAAAACAGCAGAAACTCAATTAATAGAAGTACAAATCATCATGTACATCAGTTAAACCACATCTGTGAGTTGATATAAAACACCACAAAGATTGTTGTACATTATCTAATCAGCCATGTAAGCTAAATTTTTTGCTTAAAAGTTTCTGTCATGTATGATGTGATGTCACATGCTCTTGGAAAACTTTGTATGTAGATATGTGACAAACTAGAATAAGGAACATTAATACAGTGGTGATATAAAGTCATGTCTGCTACATTAAACCAAATGACCTTATATGTTGTTATGGTCTATTAATTGAGAAAGAGAATAAATATAAAATATTTGTTTAGTCACAATATTACTACCAAATACTTAACGTAAAGCATGTGCCTTGCCAATAGTTTGCGTGTCTCTTGATTGAGCTTTGCTGGAAAAACAGATGTTTTGTTAATCTTAGCGTCATGAGTCAGACCATCTGTGTATCCTGAAGTATTGTCTGTCATGAGCTGTACCTAAATACACAACATACTAAGAGAATCCAGACTGGGGGCAAAGACAGAGACTTCCCTTGGAAAGCTTTTCACATTGCCCTTTTCACTCACACTGTCCTGCACAGCCAGAGGGCTTCTGGGTGTTACAGGCTGTCCTTGGGTTCTGCTCTTTCTCCAAATCCATTGTGCATGTGTCTCAGTGAAAGTGAGTGTGTAGCAGAGAGACAGATGATGAATGACTGATAGTGATGTCACTCTCGACCTTCGAACTTTTGCTCAAAAATTAAAAGGATTGCACCAGCAATAAATATAGTAAGAGAGATGAGAGATTAAGCGAGTCAAAGGAAAGCTTGTGGGTGTGGGTGTGTGTGGGCAGAAGGTTACCGAATACACATTTTGATCTCATTGTGCCAAATATAATGAGCAGTGAGATGATAATTCCTACCATGTCCTCCCGTAAAGCTCCCTGTGAGTGGGATCAAACTACAGTCAGAGTATTTGTTAGTATTTAGCTTTAGTACCTGTTAGTCCAACTCCACACCACCATCTGGTACTGTTTAGCATCAGCCATGTCTAATGATATTCAGTGTGAATGCTGTGGGCATTCACACTGAGTTCCATTTTTCTGGTTGCTCTGTAAATTTCGCCACGCCTCTTTTCCTACATACTTTGTTTTATTTTTACCATTCAACTTTTATACTATTCAGCTTGTTCTCCTAATGCCAGCTATATCTCTTGGTATTTATAACATTCATAATTTTTTATAATAGTCAGCTGTTTATGAATTTTTCTCCCCATGGGGGAAACCGCTCTATCCTGTGGCAGAATTGAGAATTACACTATAAAATTTTCTGTTGCGTTTCACAGTGGATGTTTCAGGTTCTGCCTATTCATTGCAATCAATGATGCAGTTTCAGAGCTGTCATGGAGGACACAAAGCAGTGGTGATTTTGAAGTTGGGCAGTTTAACAGCTTTTATGCTAACACCTGGGAATAATTTGAACTTTTGACGTTTTTTTTTTGTACTGCATATAGCATTGTTTTTTGTAGTTACCGTGCTAAACATTGCCTCCAAACAAATGTTAATATCTCAGGAACCATAAGAGGTATGGATTCTTTTTTTTTCTTTCACATGTCATGAATTTTACTGTAGCCCAGCATGCTAGTGGTAACCTATTTGCTATCATTAGTTTTTTAGCTAGTTTTAGTTTTTTAGCTAGTTTTGGCTTTTACCTGGGTGCACACTGCATGGACTATTTCTTTCCTTTCGTCAAGTCTTCACCAGTTGGCTTCAAACGCTTTTGCCATTTTCACCAAAATCATTCAGCATTGACACTTGCATTTTCATAGGAAATGCACTTTCTAGTATTCTAATGTTTTTTTCAAAATCAATATGCATCATGGTTTAATTTAAAGCCTTCTGCTATTTTGAAGCATTGATTTTTTTGAAGACTTTAGATTTGAATTGGCCAGTATGGGGATTGAACCCATGACCTTGGCGTTATTAGCACCACACTCTAACCAGCTGAGCTAACCGGCCATACATACTCTTGGGCTTCCATGGATTTAAGGAAAACTTACATGATCTTAAAAGGATTTGACAAATTCTTCATGTAATTCTCTTATTTAAGTTATATAGTGCCTCTTTACAACGAATACATTCCCAAACTTAATTCATACTTATTAATTTTCTTTTGAGTTACACAGTGCCTTGCAAAAGCATTCATTTCCATTTCTTACATTCCTTCCCATTGTAGTCACAAATCTATGTACTGTATTTTTCATTTTGATTTTCTGCTATAGACCAATGAAAGGTGTACTTTCATGAAAAATCAGAAATACACAAAGACATTGATTGGAACAGTTAAATTCTTAAAAAACATAGCTAAAGACATGTTAGGAAAACCTAAAAACCAATCAAAACAAAATTTTAAGCCTCGTCTTAAAAACAAATAGAGTGACTGCCTCATAGGGAAAAGTTAGAAGCTTGTTCCACACAAGAAGACCCAGTTTACTGATTGCTCCTGCCCCAACCCTACATTCAGAAACCCTGCAAATCACAATTATCCCCATATGAGAGTAAAGTTCACAATTGTAAGGAAGGTGTTTAGAGCTTTATGAAAAATTGAAATATTGAATTGGTGCTGTTACACACAAAATCAATGAGAAAAAACAATGAATATCAATGTCTCACACTTAATAACCTGATGGATACATATGCTTCCTCAATTGATTCTTTCCTTAACCTCTTATATTGAATTTAGGAATATATATATTTTTTTCCAGTCACTCCTCTTTTAGTTCTTTCAAAAAATGTTAATGAGAATGAGGATGCACTTTTGGTGTCTGAAGCCTAACTTTTCAGGCAGATATTTCAAATCAGACATAGTTTTACCCTAAATCTAATAAGATTGTTTTAATGCATTTAGGCTATAATGATGTGTGATGCTATGTCATTTCCTCGACATTAGTTCAACGTGGGTTGTGTTTCTTGGTCGTAGGTAAGCACTTGCTTTCATCTTTCAATGCAGCCATTGCCAGTGTGTTGGCTCTTTTGGGTACATCTGACAGATCCAAAGGGTTTTAAACAAACTATGTTTGATAATGCTCAAGGCATGACAACAGGCTTGGATGACATGACACTAGTGCTATATCTAGAGGTGGCAGGGTTACTCTATACAAACGTAGGCAAGACACAGCACAGCTAAACCCCAGTCGACACATAAACACTTCCCTAAATAGCACAGCTGAGAGGAAAGCTTTTTAGTTGCTGGAAGGAAATTTAAACCTTCTGTGAGATCAACTAACTACCTCATTCACCCTGGCAGTTGGCATGGCCACAGAGGTGTGCGTTGGCAAATGATGAGTTGAGGAGGAGTTGGGATTTGACATGTGGGATCTCAGTCCAGTAGAAAACAACATAAATGGGAAAAAATGCAACAAATTTGTAAATCATTGGGTTTAATTTTTAATGTATGAAAAGCATCCTTAATTTTTACTCTTAATATTTTATTTACTCTTTGGAGCTTTCTGTGTGCCATTTTACTTCTCACCTGCTTCCCTTCCTGCTGAGATGTGACACAGTTAGGAGTCCATGGTAAATTGCTTTCTTCCTTGGCACTGAAGGTCGTTTCTCATGTTTTTATATGGTGGCTTTTTTTCACACTGTTTTAAATTCTGCAGCGTTTGCATCACCTTAAAATAGCTTACTGCTAAAGACAAGAAATAAAACATTTACTGTGAATTTAGTGGTAAAAGCATGTTGAAAAGCGAATAATTCAGGATTTGCTATAAATTATTACCAAAATGTTGACCTTGTCTTTTACCCAAGAAATACTTCAGCCTTCAGACCTTAACTAGGATAATAATACTCAAAAGCAAAATGAGAAGCTGTGTCCACAAAAAACATCCCACATTTATGTTCCAACAGATTTTAGAAGCTACACATCAGCAATGTTTTGCACTGCAGTGACTGTGAGATACAGCACACACTGTTTTCTTATCTGGGCTGCAAATGTCTCTTCCTAGTGAGTGTCAATGACTGTAGGCTTTTACTACATGCAGAGAGGTTCTAAAACAAAAATAAGTCTGACTCATCTCTCTCACCCTGGTGACAAAAATTGCAAAAGAAAGAGGCCTTCTCACAGAGATGAAGAAGGCCATGTGATCCCAGATCTGCTCATTTGGACATCACTGTAAACAGACCCAGCTGTGTGGGAATCCTGGGCACTCGTATCATTTAACAACATGAAATACCAGGGATCATGGTGCTAAGCTGCTCTTTCCTGTAACTTTTTTAGGATATGGACTTTGTACCTTGCTGCACTATATTGAATTACTCACTGATTGCTGCAGAGATGATCACTGGCTGCCCTGAGCCATCTCTTCTACTCTGTCCTTGGGCTATAGAAACATCATTCTTTATCTCACGTCCTATCAGGGCAAAAGGCAAGGTGCCAAGAATCCCAAATGTCAGTGAATGGCTTAGGAAATAACAGCTGCTGTTCCATCTTGAATGTCCACCGCCACATAGTGAGAGGTGTTGAAAGGGACATAGTGACATTTGCAACAGGGTCTTCTCAACTTCCTCTCGTCTCCCATCTCTGTTTCCACCAAGCCACCAGTTGTTTCCTGCCCTGCTGTGACCATTAATCTACATACTGTTGGATACTAGGCTTCTTACCAGGCCAAACATCACGCTGTGTTTGACATTCATCATTTATTGATGGCCTGTTCTTTAATTGCAGTCGGAAAGAGCTTAGCTGTTCTGCTCTCACACTGGCTGATCCATAGGGAAAGCCCTCCTACTGATTTTACTCACACTGAGAGCCGTACTGTTGACTTATAATGGTTGTACCAGGCACTGAAAAAAAAATACCAACAGGGCTGTATTACTCTTATTTGTCATATCTTTCATTCAGGCTCAGACCTGTAAACTGCCTGAGTTTATTTGTGGAGAAAAGACATATGTATTGCTGAAAGATTAGTAAAATATAATTTTAGTTTGTAAGTGAAGAATTAAAGTTTCGAACCTAAATTTCTAGATGTGTAAAATGTTATAATGTTTTATATATATATATAACACTAGATTTTAACTCCATTGTAACGTTTTCCTAACTACATTTCTTTAAAACTTTAGCCTTAATAATAATAATAATAATAATAATAATAATAATAATAATAATAATAATAATAATAATAATAATAATAATTTTGTCTCTTTTTCTCCTCCACCCCCAAAGCCCCTTGATGTGGGAGACTCAGTGCGTAACATGAGACAATAGCACTTGTTTTTCATCATGACAGTTATGTTTTACTTTAGAAAATTTTATAGTGTTTAAAATTGTTTAATATTTTTTATAGTTTAAAAGAAACTCATATGGTTTAGGATTTGAGTGTTCGTGTGAACCAAGCACTGACTTCAATTTTGCACGTTCATGAGATTAAAATTTTTTTTATTTATTTATTTTTTTTAACAAGATGCTTTATTATCTCACATTTTCATGCATGCTGGAATTTAGGAGTAGGCAATCGCAAAGCTTTTATTTTTCTACAGAGAGAATAAAGACAATTTTTCCTATCATGTGTATATTGCTTTATCTTTGTGGATTTTTAGACTGGCAGACTTCATCCACCAATGTAATTTAGCTGTGAGAGCTACGTTACATAACCGGATGGACATTTTGGTGGTTTTACAAAGCAGCCTCAGTATGTGCATGCTTGTTCTAGAGGAACACGAAATATTAATACCTTTTTAGGTAAAATCTCTAAACTCCATTGTAATGTTTTCCTAACCACGTTTCTTTAAAACTTTAGCCTTAACACATAACCATGCATGTTATAATGAAAACAAATGACACGTCTCAATTGTGAACTCAAATTGATAAATATATTTGTCATGATTGCGAACATTTATTAGTATTAGGTCTGTTAGTTATGGAATTGTAATGCATTTTTCACAGCATTCTGTGAAAATTAGTTTTCTGAAGTCTGCCTTGGAAATCTAATCCTCCCATGTGGTTTATCCTGCCACCACAATGCTCTTTCATTTACAACCACTCACACAATCCGATTTTAATCTACATTAGGCATGGGATTAATTTGACTTCATACAGCTGCGGCTGGTCAGTCAGTTAATTTAAGCAGAAAGCAGTGACTGCTTCAAAGGAAATGCTAACTGTGCAGCAGATCAAGATGTAGCTCTAGAAGGCATTTTTGCAGGTGTGGATACTGTGCAAATTCAAGCATGCTCCTGTTATCTCTAAAAATAGAAGCTGAACTTTCACTGAAGCTTCCCTAAATAGATACAACTAAGAAGCTAAAATATTAGACAAGGGCAGTGTGCATTGATGAAAATAGCTTTATGATGGACAATTTCTTAGCATATTATCATTAAATGTGCAAGATAAACAACTTAAGGCTTTTTTTTATCATCAACATTTTTATGTATTCCCTATAGTACTTTAAATCCAGTAAAGCTGAACTTTGAATCATTCATCATAATGGTAACCCCATAGAAAACCTGAGGGCACATAAGGAAAATCAAGAATGATGCTGTTTCATTGCTGACAAGGTCATAGAACCTTGGCGCACAGTCTTACTCCTCTTGTACTTCAAATGTTTTCTGCTCTGAACACCAATAGCTGAGAGTCATTGCTACCGACTGTAAAATCAATTTGTTTAAGCGTCTGTAAAAAAATAAAAAATAAAAAAAAAGTAAAAAAACAAAAGCACACTGCCTATTCCTCATGTAGACACAAAGTAGAAGAATGTGGGAAGACTTTAGCACTTATGGAGGGTTTACTTGTAAAATATGGATTAGAAACATTGATACAATAAGTCAGTTTTTATCAGTGAAACTTCATGTTTCACTGTCATCAAATACAACTTGTAAGTAATTTTCAAAATAACTTTTAAACAAATAAAACTACTTCTACTGAATAACATTATAAACATTATAACAGTTTTATTAGGATAGCATTAGCGTTGTTATTGGCTAACATTCGTCACTGCCTGTCACAGTTTTACTTCATTAATGGATTATAAAATGCATTAATGTAACAATTTTATTAATACATTGTAAAACAACTATAATTGTTTCTTAGAGTACTAATGAAACTACAGAAACAGTCTATTTCAAATTTGTAAAAAGCACGACATCAGCTTAACAAAGATTCAATCTTACTGACTAAGAAATTTAAAGTTAGGTGCAATAAATTTGAGTTGATTTTTAGCTTAAATTCATGAAAGCTAAAATTAGGTCTACACAACATGAGAAATGGATAGAGAGGGTTGATTAATTAAATTGCACATGCAGCTTTAGAGCACATCACATTAAAAATACTGTATATTTTTTTAAAATCTCAGTTTCCTTAAGCATTAAATTTGCAGTGCATTTTTTAATAGATCACCAAATGTAATAGACATAGCTGGTGTGAATATTTGGACAGATTTTGCAACCAATAATCAGACCTGAAACTCTGCATTTCATATTCATATGCAGTAGAGATAGCAGTTGTAGGTGACTTGCCTATGTGCACATCAACCCATCAAACTTTGTTCTACAGGGTGAATGTGGACATCTGCTGACCGCCTAATTCAGCAGCATAATAGTTAATGGATTCATCAGCATATTAGGAACATTTTTTTACTAACACAAATCAGTTTCTAGTTTCATTAATTATCTCAAATCCAATCTGGAATGACAAAGGAACAACTCATTATGGATAGCAACAGAATACTAACAATGTGTTACATGGCTTTATATGTGCCAACTGTTTTTTTTTTTTTTTTTGCCCCTAAGGAAAGTCTACTCTATAGTTGTGTCCTTGCAGTTGTAAAGTAATATTACAACAATGAATAAAAAAAGCCCTACTACAAGTGGATGACTAATACAGGTTCAAGCATTAGTCACTTAGTGCAATCTACAGTGGCAAAAATGACATGAACAAATGAATCTGAAAGCAGCACAAACTGAATGCCATAAATTGTGCATATTATGTCATTCAGAAGTGGATTCATGTGAAAACAATGCCCTACTTTGGTGGCTAGCTCTTGTCAGTGGTGTCTGCATGCAGGTTATGTAGACAAACAGATTAGATAAGAATAAGAACCATTATGATGGCAGGTGAATACACAATTTCTGTGAATAAAAACATAATTCAAGACTGGAACAAATGCAGTAGCAGTTTAGCAGTGCCCTGCTAAACTGATCCTTTAAAAAAATCAATCAATCAATCAATCAATCAATCAATCAATCAATCTATCTATCTATCTATCTATCTATCTATCTATCTATCTATCTATCTATCTATCTATCTATCTATCTATCTATCTATCTATCTATCTATCTATATTCTTTCCTGTTATCTTTTATTTACTCTGAAGTTTATATACTTATGCCTAATGTGTGTGCGCTGTGAGTGTGTGAAACCGAAGTCAAACTTTTGTTTGTGCACACAAACTTGGCCAATAGATCTGATTTTGAATGAAGAAGTTACAACTGCTGGATAAAAGGTACAAAAATGACTTCATAACAAAATGTCATGAAATAAACAAAATGTGCAGCATAAGGCAACCACAGAAATTTCTCAAGAAAGTCTTCAGGGTTTTTTTGTTTGTGTAAAAACAGTCTCTTTTTTGAGCTGTTAGTTTAGCATTGTGGGGGCTATTTTATAACAAAATTATATGTTAGCCAAGAATCAAAAATTATTGATGATACAAGTTGCCATAATTACTATCACATTTGCTTGTTTGTATGGACTCAAATATAAAGAGGAAGCTAGAGCATCGTAAGTAAATAAATAAATGAAAAAAAAACAACCTGAAACTCAGAGGAACAACCTTAGTAGTCAACTAAAACTACACGAGTTTGGCAGATAATTTTTTTCCTACAGATATTTTTTTTAGTTAGGAAAATAGAGTGGTCACATTTTTTAAATAATAACAATAATAATAACAACAACAACAACAACAACAATAATAATAATAATAATATTGCATACATATTTGTAAATATTATTTTTAAAAACAAACAGCTGATAATATATTTTAGAATCTAACGCTATTTTACAAACACAGCTTTTATTGCCTTTAATTTCTTCTCACTATAGGAAGTGACATCACATGTTGACAGTGACTTGATGAATCAGACACGCCCCCCTGGAAAAAGGAGAGGGCATGAGATAAACCGTGGTAGATTCGGAGGCAGACATTGGATTGGCATGGCTGTGTGCAGCTCAGCACTTCATCCTACATCCACAAGGCTCCTGCCTGGGCATTTGGATTGTCTCTCAAACAGCTTAGAAATGGTGCTGGACAGCAGAGCACTGAGCCTGGCTTTGTTTTTACAGCATGTTGCAGGGTACTCGGAGATAGAGAGAGAGAATTAAGGGCGAGCGGGGGCAACATCATCACACATTTGAGCGATGCTCCGTGAGCTCTGTTTTTTTCACACCGTTTGGCTTTTCTGCACAAAGACTTTGGACTAATGGACGAATGCAGGAATGCAACTCTTTGCTTGTCATGCTTGAATTACTGTTCCATTTATCCTTTTTTGTCACAGTGCTCATTGTCTTTGTCTATCACTGCTGCCAGACGAACTGTGGGGTAGTGTGGCGGACACAGCTTTCTCCTCAACCCCCCTCTCCCTTGTCTGTTTCCCTTACTTCTCTTCTCTCCCAGCTTGCTCGTGTTAATTTACCGCTTCTAAGCTACATTCCCCTCTGTGTTATCCTCCGTTATTCCCACTGGTTACTGTCAGGCTCTAGTTGCACATATAAAACAGATAGACTGCTGTTATATCTTAGCAGCTTGTTACGTGATCTCCTAGAAAAGAGTTTTCCTCTGCTGCTCTGCCGTCACACAATTCCTAAGCTCTGTCAGGTATCTCTCTCCATAACATCAAGATGCTCATTCAAGAGGATTGATCTCTCTCACCCCCTTCACTCATCCCTTCCCCTCCCTTCTCCCAATCTTCTGCCCTCTGACCCCTGCCTTTTTGTTCTCAACCCTCATCCATTTTCTCTCTTTTGTCCTTAACCTAAACCTCCTCTCCCCTAATTCATTTGACCCTCTCGACCATGTTGCCATGGGTCCACTGGCTTCAACCTATCCTCGTTTTGCTGTCCTCTGTCTTTTGGACCTGGGGCGAAAACTGCCCAGCAACCTGCCTGTGCCCAGATCCTCACACTGTGGACTGTAGTGGCCGGGGGTTAACCCGTCTTCCTGAAGAGATCCCTTTGGATGTCCGGAGGCTTCTACTGGCCGACAACTGGATACCCCGTATCCCTTCGGATTTTCTGGTTCTGTACAGTGACTTGGTCTACTTGGACCTCCGGAACAATTCCCTCTCTTACATAGAACCTGGGACTCTAAGCACTTCCTCCAGGTTGGTCTTCCTCGACCTAGGTAGCAACAATCTGACTGAAATCCCAAAGGGGACTTTTGGGGAATCCCGGAGCTTGATCAAACTGCGACTGGGAAACAACCCATATTTGAGCATGGTGAGTGAGGACGCCTTTCTGGGCCTCACCTCTCTGCGAGAACTTGAACTGGAACGTAACGCACTATCTACCCTAAAGGTGGGAGCCCTGAGTCAGTTGCCCTCCTTGCGGGTGGTGAGACTCGAGGGCAACCCTTGGGTTTGCAACTGCAACTTCACCAACCTGTTTGAATGGTTGACGGAAAATCGTCACAAGCTTCCAAATGGTAAGTAATGTCATTTTAGAAACAGCACTTCGTTACTATGCATTAGTCAGATAACGTAAATTTGAGTGAAGCATTCATTGGTACATGGTAAATCCAACGACATCACACTTCCCTGGTCTATTTGCTTCTTTATTTATTTTCCCAGTGGAAGAGGAAACCCCCTCCCCCTCCCTTGTTCTAATTTTGTCTCTTTTTTTCCTCCACCCCCACAGCCCCTTGATGTGGGAGACTCAGTGCGTAACATGAGACAATAGCACTTGTTTTTCATCGTGACAGTTATGTTTTACTTTAGAAAATTTAATGGTGTTTAAAATTGTATTTTAAACACCATGGTTTAAAAAAAACTCATGTGGTTTAGGATTTGAGTGTTCGTGTGAACCAAGCACTGACTTCAATTTTGCACGTTCATGAGATTAAACATTTTTTATTTATTTATTTTTTTTAAACAAGATGGTTTATTATCTCACATTTTCATGCATGCTGGAGTAGACAAACGCAAAGATTTTATTTTTCTACAGAGAGAATAAAGATAATTTTTCCCATCATGTCTATATTGCCTTATCTTTGTGGATTTTTAGGCTGGCAGACTCCATCCACCAATGTAATTTAGCCGTGAGAGCTACGTTACATAACCGGATGGACATTTTGGTGGTTTTACAAAGCAGCCTCAGTATGTGCATGCTTGTTCTAGAGGAACATGAAATATTAATAGCTTTTTAGGTAAAATCTCTAAATAAGGTTGACTGGTTTTAACAGACAGGGTGTCTGTATTAAAAAGGGGCTGCCAGTCTTTTCCATGATGAAAAGGATACAAAATCATATCTTATACTATTTCAATTGTAGATCCATGTATTTCCTATTATATGGTATGTGTTTGTGTTCTGTTACAAATATTATTTGGGAGTTAAATCTTTTGTAGAGCACAGATTATTTCTTTGCAATTGTTACAGACAGGACTTACCTCATGAGAGCAGGGTAGGATGTGGGAGCAAAGAAGCAAAAATAAACAGATCTGACGGCTGAGCCACACATGACTTGTACTAAGGGTGATAATTTTCACTTCAGATTACAGAGATGTGATAACATAGATTTTTTTTCTTAAAATATACATTTAAGCTAAATATGTATTTAGTTTAAATGTACATGGGTCCTCATGCTGCCAGATCCATTTAAGCTAAATGTACATTTTAATGATTTAACAATGCTGTTCTGATCAAATACCCTGAAAATATATGATGATGTTGGGGAAACTGTCAGCTTTGTTTCAAAAAGATCTACTTTCATATAAAGTCTGATTACTCATGAGCCAAATAATCTAAGGAGTGCTAAAGAAGTGTGTTTTTAAATGTGGAAAAATAATTGCAGGAATCAGTTAAAGTTACACAGTAAAAGATGGGAAGAATTTTTAAATTGATTAGCCTTTAAAGTTTCACAATATAAGCATTTCATCAAGCATATTACTCTGTAATAAAGACCTGTTTTCTGTCTGCAAGATAAAATTGGCTGAAAGTTAACTGTTTTCTCACTGAATATTTTTGTGCTCAGTCTGAAAACTGGTTTGGTACTTCTCAGGTCTGCTGACAACCCACAAAATTAAACTACTTACAGACATATAGGCCATGGTGTTCTGTGCTATTGATTCTGCCCTTACTCTGCACTCAAATCTTTTTTTCCTTTGCCACCTCAGGTAGGAAAATTTGCTCACACATTCAGTCCTCATGCTGCCAGATCCAATAAACATAATGACTGAGCTCTTAACATTAGTTAAATAGTATGACCTATCCTCTGAAAAAAAAAAAAACAAATAAAAAAAACAAACATAAAAGACATGATTATACAATCACAGATGGATACTCATTAGTGAATGAGCTTGATTTGATAGGCTTTGCAGTATGCGTTGCCTCTCTAACAACCGCCATCAGTTGATGGAAGTTAGCAACATATAATCTAGTTGGACAAAATCATGGAAAACTGTTTATGAGTTGAGTTTTTTTTATTCTTGCACCATGACATATTAAAAAAAAAAAAAGGCGGTCTATATAAGTCAACAGCTGAAATGTTATTTACCAGCAGACAGAATTAACTCTCATTTTAACATTGAGTATTTTTTCTAACATTAAAACATTTTATATCCAGCATGAATGGGTCTTTGAAATGACTCCTTAAAGCATCTGAAGTTGCAAAATTAATAAAGTTTGTTAAGTGTAATTATCAGGTGTGTACCTGATAAGACTCCAAACAACATGATATAGCTGTGCACATGTATGAGTGATTAGTGAGCTTCTCAAGGCTGACACTTTATATCAGGAACTTAAAAGCTAATATATGGGCAAGATTTAACATGATAGAATAAGCTCTTAAAGTTATGACTATTACTCTTGGTTCTTTCTTTACCATTTGTCCAGGATACTAGAGTTTTCCACTTTACATTGTAGATTAGATTTAATTTTGCAGTGTGGAAAACAGAGATCTAGTTTTTACTTGTGCTCTAAGGATTCTACATTTGACTCAGACTTGAAATCTATCACTCAACTCTCAAGAAAAAAACATTACTTCATGTAAAGATAATAAAAATAACCCAGTACCTTGACAGTATTTGACTAAATGGTGATTCTCGTCTCCTTTGTCTAGTGCACACAAATAACTGGTTATCATGTAGGAGTTCAATTTAATGCTTGAACACTTTGGGTCAATAAAATGAGTAAACAGCAACCTTCAGTTTCACCAGCTTTTATTCAAGGGGAGACATAGGGGAATATTTTAACCACTACAGTCTGCTATAGGGCATTTTTAGAACATTTCAAAGTATTTCCTGTGCAACCTGTTTCAATCAAGAGAGGTGTTATTAAAGGGCGGGGGCAGGGTATAAGCTACATCAACTTTTTTGAGCTAATTATGTTATAATTTTATTTCTTCATAAAAAACACACCTGGAACATTGCTTTGACTCATTCATGCATGTTTGAAGAATCCTTTAATCTCACGTGGCAGCCATAAGGGGGTTGCTTAACGCCTGCATCTGTCCTCAGCTGAGGACCCGCCCCATGAATCGTCACTCCCCTGTGTCTCCTCCACACAGCTCCTCCAGACTAACAGCAGCAGCAATTAGCAAATACCTGTTGAAACTGTTGAGTTTGCTGAGCTTATCATACAAATAACAAAGCTCCTGTGAATGGTTATATAGAACAATATGGAGAAGCATTGTTGTGATAACGTGCTTAAAGAGACAGGCTAATTTCAAGGCATCAGATATGGTTATGATGTGAAGACAAAGTGTTTTTTGATATACTATAACATATTCATAACAACTGAAGGCAGCATAGTTACTTGATTGTGCTACAAAATGGCTCCATATACCTGGAAAATATATTATACCCCCGTTATTTACTGTAGCTGATGATACCACCCACCTTGAAAGTGGGCCTCTGTCTCTTTAAGAAGCTCCAGGACTTTTAGAATGTTGAATCAATGTTTATTTTTAGAATTTATTAAAAAATACGTACTTATCAAGAGAAATCTGATCTGAAAATATTCAAAACATAAGCAGAATGTGGTATATTAAAGGACACGAATTGGAAGGAGCTCTGGACAACATAGTGATTTCTGGGTATGAAAGATGGGATATAAGCAAAAACTTAAAATGACTCCCAAGCCTTCATGAGGAAAAAGTAGGAGCACTTTAGTACTTTATTGTCGCTTGAAATTGGACACTACCAAATATAGAACATAATAAAAATAGTCTTTAATGTCCAACACTGTGGACATTCAGGTGTAACAGTAGCATCAAAGTACATCTATGTGCACACACGCACGTGCACACATATTTATTTATTTTATTTATGTGTTTATTAATTACAGATAGATTAATGATAGCAATAATAAGTTGTACAGGATTATTGCATAAAGACAGTGATCAGAAAGGCGTATTCCAATCCAAGGGATATGCAGCTGAGTAGGATGACTTGTTTTTCAAACGTACATAAAGTGCATGCATGTTAAACATTACAAAGAAAACAGATCATTTACAGTAAATGATCTTTAATGAATATTAGTAATGAGGAAAATATTGCTAATGATTATGCAAATCTCAGAATGGCTCCCAACAAATTGCTTTTGTTGGGAGCAGTGAAGAATACACAATCTAATAGCTCCTTTGCGCTCCTACAGTGCAGCACTCTGTCACTGAAGAAGGTCTCCAGATTGTCCATCAGTCATGTTATTTTAACCAGAGTCCTTCTGTCTCCCACCACCTGAACTGGGTCGAGGGAGCATCCGGGCACACAGCTGGCCTTCCTGATGAGCTTATTGAATAGCTTCCTCTGAGCTGTTGATATCAGCATTTAAAAATCTCTAAACTGTAGAACCCGTATGATAGACAGAAATTAATCCATAAACATTCCTCTTTAAAGGACAGAAATAGTTGCAGCATTCTTCATAAGTGCCTGCATAATATAGCAGCTGCAGAGTGTCTGCAGTAAATCCAATTCCCAATTCATTTTTCACTTCTTGATTTCCCTCGTGATTTTAACTTCACAGCACAGCATCCTTTTCTGTTTGTGTCACCGCAGGTCAGAATGATGGATGGTTGAAAGATAGTTGAAATTTTTGAATTTGAAATTATAAGCAAAAAAAAAAAAAAAAAAAAAAAAAAAAAAAAAAAACACTTTTTTT